AAACTATTGAAGATGGTAACCTTGAACTTCTTCCCTCTCACGCTTCAGCTTCTCTAAATCCTACGAATCCATCTTCCACGAGATTCACTAAAATTTTAAGTTAAGGCAAACCATACGGAAAATGGGATTTATGAAGTTTGCGTTAATTATATTACAATTTATTAAATCTTTAGTGACTGTAAGTTTTCCCAACAATTAATTCATAAATTTTTATTTTTCCTTATATCAAAATAAAACAAAACAATATTTTTTTATTATAGTTAATGTTAATTAAGATGATTATTTCATTCTTATAAGAAGATGATAATAATAATCTATTTGATATACATACTTATATTAGATATTTGTAGGTCTTTTAGAATACATCTAATTTAGTAAATAAATAAGTTTAATTGTCTAATTGTTTGTCTTATTTTTCTAAATGGTGTAGGATTGCTAGTCGAACCATTAAACTTGTAGAACGGTCGTGATGGCCGTCTGGAGGTAAGTAATTGTTGTTTATTGGAGGATAAACATATCATTCCTAGTTAAGTGACGTTATTCCTTGTTAATTGTAGTAGAATCACATCCATTGTTTATGTTTTGTCAGTCCTGCACTTGCTACTTTAATTATATTGTTGCACTTGTTATATGCTTATTTTATTGTTCATGATAAAATTAGCAAATCACCTTAATTTATTGTTGCCTATTTGAATAATCCTGCAATTATAGTGTTTTCATTTTCTTGCATTTTATAAACTTACATGTGAATTCGCATCTTTTTACAAGCTTGTGTAAAAATAACATACTTCTTGCATATTATATCCGTGAAAACAAATTTGGCATGCTTATGTGTAATGGCATATAGGTCGGTAGAATCCTTTTGGATTTTGGCTAGTAGGGCCGACGGACTCACAGAGTAACAACTTTACAGGAAATCGTCAGGTTTCTTTTGGTTGGCATTTGGCCTTTGTGGTTTCAGGGTGTCTGTTAAAACCAAATATATAAATATAAATGAAAAACATAATAATAATAAAATTGATGGAAAATGATTACATGCTTTCGTTTAATATGCATATTTGATATTTACCCCCCTTTTTGTTGGTCTTACATTGTTACATATGCACCCTGTGATTCTTTCTTACATGTTCATGTTGCTTGCCCCATTCACTTTGTCGTTTATGCTTTAATAGATAACTGTTACTTATTGAGTTTGTTAAACTCACTCTTAATATATCTGCATAACATGTTCTGTTCAGCCACCACTAAGACTGTCTCCACCGAAGGATGTTTTCCAGTTTTGATTTTCTTTTTTGTAGTATTTGTCTTATTTATTATATTTTCTTTGTTGGGTCTGGGTAGTTGTCCTATGTTGTCCTGTATATTTTGATTCAGCTAAATTTAAGTTGTATCATTGAACTTTCAGTATTAATAATGTTTATTTTTATATTTTTATTTTCAATGGAAGTCTTTCTTTGAAAATACAAAATGAGTTCAAATCATTTCCTCATGCCCTACTTTGTCGGGGCATACCACATTCCGAACCTGATGTGTGACTCATCTAGGAAGGTAACTATCGTATGTCTGCACTTCTCTTAACCACACACTTAAACAACAATTCTAAATTTTGTAAATCCTTTTTTTAACGAGTTTCTTATACCGGGATTTAAGGCTAACCTAAGGAAAAATGGGATTTAGGATTTAATTGAGTTTTATATTGCTATTAATAGGGTTAGATGTGATGCATGTAAATCTCTTAAAATTTTATTTAGAAATAAAAAATTCTATTTTTCCCTATATCATTATAAAACCAAAACAAAATACTATTTCAATTATGTTACTTAAATTTAATTAAGTTCATAACCTTTTAAAAATATAATAATAATAATAATAAATTAACAACAATAATAATAGTGATAATGCACGTCGATCAGGTTATATCTAAGTAATAGAAACTTAACTGCATGACAATTTTATTTTCAAAATGGTGTAGGATTGCTAGTGGAATCATTGAAGTTGTAGAAGTGTTGTGATTGCCGTTTTAAGGTAAGTAACTGTTTTTGATTAGAGGATAAACACGTCCTTCATAGTTAGGTGTGTTAATCCTTGTTAATTGTAGTAAACTCATAGTTATTCTATAGGATTGTCAGTCTTGCCCTTATTATTTCAATTGTTTATTTGTTATAGGCTTTACTTACTGTTCATGATGAGATCACTATTCTTCTTAACTTATTGCTACAAAGTTTCTTGCATATTTGAATTAATCCAACAATTATGATTTGTTCTTTTCTTATACTTGTATGAATTTGCATCGGTCATATCACAATCATGTATGAAATACTATAATTTTAACATGTTATACACGTGGAAACAATTTGACATACTTGTGTTTAATGATATGTAGGTTGGTAGAACCTTTTTGGATTTTGGCTAGTCAGGTCGATGGGCCTTTTGGCTAGTCAGGTCGATGGGCCTATAGAGTGACAACTCTAGAGGAAATCATCGGGTTTCTTTAGGTTGATATTGACTTTTTTGGTTTCAGGGTATATGTTAAAACTGACCATATATAAAAATATAAATGAAAGTTAAATAATAAGAAACTTGATTATAAAAGATTTCATGTTCTCATGTTATGCATATTTGATGTTGACCACTTTCTTATTGTCTTACCATATTATATTTATGCACGTAGTGATCGTCCTCATTTGTTCATACTGCATGCCCCATTTTCCTTTGTCGTTTATGCTTTAATAGACAAGCATTATTTGTTGAGTTTGTTGTCAAACTCACTCTTTGATATTTTTTCATACAGGTTCTATTCAGCCCACCCCAGTAGGACCGTCACCAACAGAACAAACTTTTCAGTTTTAGTTTTTTCATATTAGTATTTTTCCTAGGTCTTTGTTTAGTTATTGCATTTTTTTGTTTGGTATGGGTAGTTGTTCCGTATTATTATTTCTTTTTTGATTTAGCTAGTTTTTTTATTTTTCGTCTAGTTGTATCAGTGAACTTTTTAGTGTTAATAAAATATATTTTTCTCTATTTTAATTTGCATACTAATCTTTCTTTGAGAATACAAAACATGTTTATTTTATTTCATCGTGTCATGCATTGTCGGGGTGTACCGTCTTCCAGACCCGGGGTGTGACACATAAGATGACATCATGTGAAAAATCACACCTTAAAATAAGAGATCTAATTATTTATTAAATCATGCATCTTCTATTTATTCTTACACAAACAAAGTATTTCAAGTGTTTTTTCTTGCTACTAGGATTTTTACAATACAAGAATATAACATGTGAATTATAAATTTATACCTCGCTCGTCATAGCAACATGAAGTGAGGCGTGTTATGAAGTAAACTTAATCAGACAGTGATCACAATAATTACTAATTGCTCACTTAAATTAGAGAGTAGGCATATACTTATGATAAGTGTATTCTTACCTTACATAAAAAAGTCAATAAAATAACATGACACATCATCTTAGATAGACATGTCTTGGAAAATCTTCCCACCCCAAAAGCTTACATTCTAATTGTCCAATGATGACATAGGATAAGAAAGCTGTGGCATCTAGTGCTGAGCTCACTTGTGATAGTCATGAATATCACTCATGAATAAACAATCAAGATAAACATCACATAAATTGAAGCAATCACATATCAGGCTCAAAAGACATCAGATCTATGCCACACAACCGCATTTCAAGTAAAAAAAAAAGTAAGCTTACTTTGCGCATAAACAAATTAGGGATGTTTCAAGTTAGGGGCGTCAATAAATAACAAGCCACAAAAACCTAACATGAATCTGACCCAAAATATTTTAGTTAAGGTTGACCCACTTAACTTTCAGTTGGGTTTGGGTTGAAAATTATAGCCTATTTAATTTTTCGCGCATGTTCAAATTAGCCCATCTAAATGATTCCAACTCGTCAACTTGTATAATTTTTTATATCCAACATAATTTCTATTATTTTATATTTACCATTTGATAAGTGATTTCTTATCATATATTTATGTTACTTATTTATTTTATTTTTTTCATTTCTAACTACTTATAAATATTTTAAATAGGTTAATAAATTTTTGCCAATTTTGTTATAAACATGTATGATTTGGGTCAGGTTTTTTGATCTGTTTGATAAACGGGTTAGATTATGGTCATGCAAATTAGGGTTAGGTAAAATTTGTGTCAGTCCCAAAATTGACCCTTTAATCGAAATTAATATCCCTAGTTCAGGTTTGATATCTTATTTAATAAGGTCGTGGGTATTAAATAATATAGCAGTACAAAAAAAATGAAATTATCACATATTAATATACATTATTTTGAATTAAAATTAATAATATTAATGAGAAATAATGTTATAAAATATAATTAAAAAACAAACATACTCAAATACACCACATTATATGAAACATATTGCTCTATGGATATCTTGGTTAATGCAACAACAACATTACAAGCACAAAAGAAAAGAGTAATCAAACCAATACAACATACAATTTTGCTTAATAAACAAACAAAATAAAGTGTTTTAGTTATTTGGTTACTGACACAAACATAATCATATTATGCTATTTAATTATTCAATATTTACTAATGACACTTAAAGCAATATATATGTATGTATGTATGTATGTATGTATGTATGTATGTATGTATGTATGTATGATTATGTTTGTGAGAGAAGTGTCATAAACATTATTTTTGAGAGAAGTGTCGAAGTAATCCCCGGACTCTTTGTGGGTGGTCATTTTAGTTCCAGAGTCTATAAAATCGTCAATTCAGTCCCTAAACTTTTTAAAACAATGGGGACTCTTTTGGGCCATATTAAAAGAGTTGGAGTGTTAATTTGATAATTTTATGGACCCTGAGACTAAAATGACATCATGTAAGTAGTTGGGGGACTATTTTGGTACTTCGCCCCCTTTTTTTCTATATGGATATTAGTAGCTAAAACTATCCGTGTGCTACCTGTGCATGTTGAAGCATTGTTTTTCTGTGTGTATAGATTGTTGGCATCATTGACCAACCTATTCTGAGAGAGAGATGGATTGGGATAGAAGGGAAACCAACCACACTCAATGGACGGGAAGTATCTACAAGGACCTGCAGCAAACTTTCTCAAGCCTACCTGTGTGCACCTCGTGCATTCTTGAGTTTTTGAACATAATGCTACATATTTCATTAATTTCTATGAAATTATGCACCAATTCTTTAACATATAAAACTTACTTTTATCTATGTTTCTAACAGCTATAGTACAAGCCCACATCTTTTTAGTGGTGAGGCTGAATTGGCTTTCAACCGTTTGAGAAATAAGGTTTGCTTGCATAGTTCAAATTTTTCTATTTTTGGTTGCTTTCCTGAAGTATATGCATGTTTTGGTGGGATTTCATAAGAATAGACTGATATGCTGTTTTCCTTTCTTTTTTTTTTTTTGGGCCAAGCCAAGGTGAAGGTGCCTTTATATGGTTGTGATTGTTATGCATATGCGCTTCTAGCTTCTGGGTTTGTGGATCTGGTCGTTGAATCTGGGCTTAAGGTAACCTTTTTTGAATATTTTTATTTATTTTTGCTTTTTTATTTCATTCAATTATTCTCATTTGCTGCAAACATGGGACGGTGAGTTGGTTAGAGGGGGCATGCATGTGACTAAGTTAGAGGTTCTGGCCTCTATCCTGCAAAAACATTTTAGAAAGTGAAATGGAAATTTTTTTTCCAATGCCCAGACTTGAGTGATTCATATTTTCAACCCAGACCCTGATTTCTTTTGTTATGCAATTATATTTTCTCTGCTGATTTTTACATTAATTACTCACATAATTTATCATTATGCTCGAACAGCCCTATGATTTTCTCTCACTGATTCCAGTGATAGAAGGAGCTGGGGGATATCTAACAGACTGGAAAGGAAATAAGCTTCACTGGTTGCCATCTCCTGACTCCCGCGTTACAAGTATGTATGTTTTGGCATGAAATATCAGCTCTTTTTTTGCAGTCTACTTTTCTAAGTTCTATAAACCAGCATTTTTGTAATTAGTCCATATGCCTTTCATAATTCTAGAACTTAATGTACTTAGCTCTGAATTTCACTACTGCATATTATTATCTGTTTATTTGTTCTAAAATCAACCTTTAATTACGAAAGATCTCACTCATGGATTGTTTTGAAGTGATTTTATTTGCTTTTTTCTTGTTATTTCTCCGGGCATGGTGAGCACTCAAATCCCTTCCTTCGAGATTTTTTGCTTTATTTCCAATCAATTTTCCGCTGATTCAAGCATTTTCTATTTGCTTTGCTTTAATTTGCTTTGCTTTACTTTCTTTATATATATATATTATCTGCTTTGCATACATTCCACCCAATACCTATATATTTACATATCTAACATTGAAACTTTACATTTACATTCATACTACCCAAATCTTTCTTGTCACATAAAAAATCCCACCATCTTAACTTTGAGCTAGTGAAATATACCTTTTCATGTATTGGTAAGGTTTATGTAAAAATTGAAGTGGTGTTAAATATGTAAATATATAAGAATTGAGTGCATGCCTGTAAATCTTCCCCTGTTTTTCAGTGTTCCGAAATTCCATTTCAGGTTTCAATGTGGCGGCAGCTGGTGACCTCGAGATGCACAGGCAGGCCCTGGAGGTTTTACAATGGCGGTGAAGTATCCATCCCTGGAAGATAATATAGCAGATTATTGGTCTTATCAATAGTTTAGAGAATCAGACTTCTGTCCATTGAATACATTGTTAGGAATAAAATTTGAAAAGTCATGATCTAAATGCAATTAGAACAAAATAAAGTTCCATAACTTTGGTTTTATTATTGGAAATAAAGTTAAATTGGTTGCACTTGCATATTCAAAAGTAGAGAAGGGTATATTTTGAGGAAATTTATTTGTTGGGGACAAAACTAGAGATGATTATATTAATCATTGCTTATTTGCTTTATGAACCTTAAACTTTTTGAAATGAATGTAAGAAATCTGATTATAAATCAAACTATTTTGTAGATCAACCCCAATGATTTGAGATTATTCAGATCATAAATACAATTAAAAAAAAAACAAACAATTGGTAAATTGAAATAAAACCTCCCCCCACCCCCTCGTTTCAGCAAAAAATTTCCAGATTTTTTAACTTCTACTTAGATTTATAGGATTATCTATTATTTATAAATTTCAATGAATGTTTATCTAAAAGTTATGAAATGATATAACAATTGTTCATATTTATATGATTATCTATTATTTACAAATAACACTGAATATTTGTGTCATAAGATCACAGCTATAATGCGAGAAGTATGTACATGAACAATAAATAAATGAGTTACTTGAAAAGGTTGGCATGAAGAGGTTAAAATTTTACAAGCCTTCCATGAGTCTATCAAATAGATTAGACTTAGATAAAGAAGGAAAATCAGCAGGCAATAAAATATATGAGTATAATAAACTAACCTTTAAACCTTATTGTGAGCAAACATTATATTACATTTATTGCTTGTGTTTGTGCTCATTTTCAAGACAACCCTAAGGAGTCTCATTTAATCACAGTTAGTATATTTCACTTTTTTTTTTATTATAACTTATATAATAGTCTTGATACTAGTCTTGCGGTATCCCAAGAACCTACTAACTTATAACTTCTATATTAGATGTAGTTTCAAACATAAGTGCCCGTCCAATATATGTTAACTCATTGAATCATTACTTATGTCTTAGTTTAGAAAGAAGCAAAAATATGTGGTCTTACCACAATAGAGATAGAGTATTGCAGACCGCTATAATGCGCAAATGTTTTGACTAAAGAAACATTTAAAATACTACAGAATTAAATTAGAGTAGATTCTAATTAGGTTTGATAAAATTAATGATAGCAACTTAACAAAGAATCTATTTCAACATTCATAGACAAAAACAAATAAGATTTCATTAAAGATCATGTTTCATGTGGAGAAAATTAAATTTGTCACAACAAAATTTCGAACTACAACCATTTTTATAGAACCATTGATAGAAGATGGATTTTATGAAGTCGAGAGAAAACTTGGAATGCAATATACTTATCTTTGATTTGGTATATTATATGTTATGAATATTTTAATTTGATATAAATATTATTTCTATTTTGCTTTCATCCTTCTTTTTTTTTTGTTGACAAAAAATAAAAAGATTTGCATGTGGTTGTGACTTTAATTAATGCATAAATTTAGGAGTTACCCAAAATTATTTTTTTAATTAATCAATTTACACATCAATCTATGTAATTGATACGGACCAAGTGTTGTGAAGCACTAACAATACATGCAAACATATGTGTTGTCCAAGTAGTATATATAATTGAGTATGTGCGTCAATCTCATAAAGAATGAGTGAACTCCCAAAGTAAGGTAAATTTCTAATCTACTAGTTTTGAATTTAGCATGAATGTTAGATATTTGGTAATTTTTAAACTATTTAAACCTAATTTTTGTAAGAGTATAAACCTATGAACTAAGTTTTGGGATTTTAATCATGTGAGAAAGCCTCCCTTGAATTGGACCTAACATATTAGACCTATCCATGTGACTAATATTATTGACAACCAGGAAAATTAACATTACATGGCCCCTCCAGGTGGTTTTAATAAATATTGACGTTTCTTATTACAGTTAGTTCCCTAACCATATATAAACTCCAGTCTTTTCATGTTTCCCTAAGTAATTGCATTACTCTAGCAGCAATATCCCTATTCTTCTAAAGCAATGTATGTCAATTTAATTGGTTCACTAGACTACTCCCATAGTCTTAGATCACAATCCATTTTAACAGATCAACTGGTCATGTTGAAAGTAAATGAAGAGCAAAAAATGAACATATCAACATTCTACACACAAAAATCTCAATCACAATTCATAGATAGTACTAATATGCATAAATTTTCAATTCAAGGAAGTGAGAAATCTAGTCATCACTCATTGGAAGGAAACACAACAAAATATTAATTTCAAATTCAAAGCAAATATAAGTTAGACCAATCTCACTAAATTGATCCATTGAATTACAAGAGTTGGAATGAAATTATAAGATTTCCCCACTTGAAGTCATAACAATCACAATCTCACTCTCCACACTTAACTTGATCTCACTCAAGAAACAACTCTCACACTCACAACACTCCCTTAGATCCATCCTTCAAAGTACTATGAATGCTCCCCATAAGTCTCCGTTGAAGCCCTCCTTTATCTTCTTCTGGTCTCCTCAAAAAATCCAACTATGAAGCACTCAAGAGATCCCTTTGAATTTGAAAAAAAATAGTTCTTTTGTTGCCCCAGAGATGCCATGTGAATAGAAAGCATCATAACTCCCAATGTCGGTTGATCAATTTTGGAATTCCTCCTAGGAGTGCCAAGTCTCCCTCGCTTGGTGTTGTGCGTCCTGGTGCAGCTGCAATGTTTTCATGAAATGGCTCAAAGGTTCTTTGCTTTCTGTTTGTGTTGTAAGTTGGACGACGTAATCATACCACTAAGGTGGCACACCGATGCCAAAATGTCGTGGCCAAACCATAAGTGGCGTATCTACGTTAGAGCCCACTATAACACCTTGGCACCACTCTCTCTAGTAAGAGGTGCATATGCGCCCATTTGGGTGGCACCAAGTTGCCTTGAGGCACCTCTCTGTATTAGCACTTCTGCATGATTAATGAGTCATTAAGCACTCATGAACACCTGTAACCTACAATTACACAAAAAAAATACCTGTAAAAGCATAAATAGGAAAAAACTAATGAAAGGAAATGTAGAAAAATATTGGCAAAACATATCACATATTTTACACACATCAAACTCCCCCAAAATACAACTTACAAATACAATCCAGATCAAGTCTAGGTAAATACAAAACAAACCAAGCAACACCACTCCAACTAATCGTCAAAATGCTCTATTGAACAACTACAAACAACCTCTTCTTCTTCCTAATTATCATCTTTCTCTTATTAGTTCTCGTGTAAAGTGGAGCAGTGAGAACTGCATCGGATCGGGCCTCGTGTTACTTCCCTCTCGGTGGCACAACTCTTGTCGGGCAGCATGGTAATGGGCTAGATATTTAAATTGGCTTTGTTATTGAACTACATAGTGTTGGGATCTCTCATACAACTGATGTAGCCCCCACCGCATAATTGTCTTGTCCTGAGAGAGAAATAGTGTCAACATATTTGTGGAGGGCAGTGAATGCATCAAAAAACTTGGGCCAAGGCTGCGAAGTACTATGCTAGGAAGAATTAGGTTGTGAAGAACTAAGTCGGTCAAAACTCATAATTTTCCCAAAAGTCGTCTTGTTATACCCATGCATAGATTTCTTCGTCGTCAGTCTCAAAAGGCCAAGCCGCTCCTCCCAATTATTGTACTTCACTCTAGCTCTAACACAGACGGCAAAAATCACCGCTGAATGACTAACCCTATGCTTTAAGAATATTACAAATAAAGGTACTGATGCTCTTTCCTATGGTGATAGATTTCTCCCCTTGATTATAGTAATTTAACACTATTCTCTACCTTGTGACCTCACTAAGGTTGGTGCTTTGCAAAAGTTTGGTTGAGATAAAATAGTGCCAAAGTCTGGATTAACATTCAAAATAGTAGCAGGGACTCTTTTTTTGTCTCTCTTCCTCCACTCCACTTGCCCATCAACAAGGAGTTCGAAATGAAAATTCAAAAGCAACAAATCTAGAATATATATCTTCAAGGATATCATGAATATCAAAAATGAACTTATTATGGGACACAACTAAAATCTACTCGCTTTCCCCACACGAAGACCATTTATCTATTTGTAATTTCAAATTAAAATAATATTCTCTTACCACCAAAATCATAGCTACCCCATCCTCACATCAAAGCCTTTCCTAACCTCTCCTAACAATTACACACTCAACTCTCCCACCAAGGGTAAAAAATCCCCTCTCAACGATCAAATTCTTCGACATTAAGAATTCGTGGTAGCAGTTAGCATCTTTAATGCTCACAAACATCTTAGAATCGAAGTATGAGGGTATTTTTCTTCCGTTAGTTCAAGGAGCCATTATCGAAGAGAGGCACAAGATAGTGGATCTTTCTGATGGACGTGTCTGGTGGCAGTGCCTTAGCGCCAATGGAGAGGTGCAGGAGTGTCGGTTGGGAACGCGGATAGGAAGCTCCTAGGTGCCTCTTGTGGAGCACCAAGGTGTTAAGCTTACGATATGGTGGAGGGTGGGCACACCTGACATGAGGCACACACAAGACACAACTGGCATATACATGCCAAAATGTGTATACATGCCGAAATGGCGCACTTACGCCATTGCTTTGTGTGCGAAAGTGTTATGTTTACTGTAAATTTTGGTGATGATGTATTGTAAGACAAAATACAAGTGTCAAGCAAGCAAGACCTATAAACCCCAAACTCTCAACACACAAACAAGATCAAAAACCAACTAGACACTTAACACAACACAAATACATGTTGAAATCAGCAAACAAGAAATAAAAAAATTTCAAAAATAAAGCACACAAAAGATAACTCTTGGGTTGTCTTCCAAATAGAGTTTGATTTTATGTCATCAACCAGATAATATCAAATTTTATTAATTGGGCTGACACATTGTCCGAGTTTCTCTAAGGCAAATCCTATCACCTCCTAAGTACAATTTTAGTCTATGGCCATTAACCTTAAACACCGGACAATTTTTCAATCATTGAGGTCAACAACTCCAAATGAATGCACTGTTATTACAATGAACGAGGTCACCTATATTTAGTTTTCCTGCAAACAATTTTAATTTTGAATTGTACAACAAAACCCCATGTTCATGCTTGAAATTCTTCTTAATAAGTTTTTGATCAT